ATAGCTGGGGATCAGAGAAGTTCGAAAACCTCACCCAGGATACATCTAGTAAGCAGCGGAGTCAGGATTTGCACTCAAGTCTGTCTGACTCCAGCCATGCTCTTAAGCACTGTGCTGGGCTCCTTGGTGTCTGTCAGTCCTCTGATGGAATCCTTACTTATTCGTACTTCTCCCAGAGCTGGAAATGAGATGCAAGAGACAGAAAAAGTGTTGAGAACAAAATTGAAATGCAGAAATCCTCCACCATTTGTTATGTACAAAGGAGGTCCTAGTTAGTTGCTAGGTGTGGCGTGAGGGTGCAAGATGGAATTATCAATAGAATTTGAAATAAGGGAGACAGAATTGCCCACAACTGTAATAACTACAAACCGGTATGACAAGACATATTATTACTGTACATGACATAATAGGGGAAAAGAAGTACTGGGCGGGATGAGATCAGGATTTAAATCCAGTTTTCACCACATACTAGCTGAGGGACTGGGTCAATCAGAGACTCTACAGGAAACAGGTGGTTCAAATAAGAGACTCAGCGAAAGGACTACAGTTGACCCTTAAACAATGCAGGAGTTTGGGAAAATCTACAAATAATTTAGAGTCAACATTTGGTATCCATGGTTCCTCCATATCTGTGGTCCGGCTTCTGTGGATTCAACCAACTGAGCATGGTGTGGTACTGTAGTGTTTATGATTGAAAAAATCTGCATATAAATGGACCATTCAGTTCAAACCCCTATCGTTCGGGGTCAACTGTATTTTAGAGGTCTTAAGGAGGGCAGGGGCAGACGATATTAATGCACTCAGACTCTAGAAACAGTGGAAGCTGATACCACTTACAGGACTGAAAAAAGCAGGGGAAGAAATAGTGAGAATTGGCATCATAGAAGTGGGGGTACCCGACAGGAACCACAGTTGTACGGAGCTACTGTCACTACCAGAGACAGGGTCTGAATCTGGGAAAGAGCCGGGAAGAAATACCCCAACCTCCATCCTCATGCTCTCTGATCTTCTGCTGGTGCCTCAAATCAGCTGATCCCTCCAGGAAGCTGACCTGCCTGAGAACCCAATCCTCTGTGGGGGTCTGTCTCCCACGTGGAGAATGGCTGTGAGGGAAGGGGTCGGAGAATAACCTTGAACAAGTCACCTCCTCTCTCTAAATTTCAGTTTGCTTATCTGTGCTATAGTGCCTACCATATTAATAGCGGCCTTATAATTTCTACTTTAAACTTTTGATTTTGAAAATTTTCAGTCTCACAAAGAATTTATAAGAAAAGTATTATGCACACAGTGATATAACCTTCACCTAGATTCTCCAGTTGTTAACATTTTGTCACTGTTGTTCTCTTATTATTATTCTTTCTCTCTGCTGGCACAAACATATACACATATTTTTGCTGAACCATTTGAGAGTTATTTGCCAACATCCTGAGACTTTATCCCTAAATATTTATGCAAATATCACCCCCAAACAAAGACATTTCCCTACATAACCCCAATAAGATGATAACACTCAGCAAATTTAAAATTAATGCAATGCTATTATCAAATAGAGTCTGTATTCAAATTTACCCAAGTATCTCAACAATACACTTTATAGCTGATTTTTTTCAATCAAGGATTACACATTGGATTTTGTTGTCATGCCTCCTTAATCGCCTTTAATCTACAACAGTTTTTCAGGTTTTTTATTTTTTAATCTTTCATGATATTAAGGCCAGTTTTGAAGGCCAGTTGTTTTGCAGAATGTTCCCACTATGGATTTTTCTAGTTGTTTTTTTTTCATAATTAGATTCAGTTTAAGCAATTTTGGCAATAATACTACAGAGGTGTGTTCTTCTCAGTGTATTGCATCTGGACTTGATGTCAGAATGCCCATCATAGGTGATCTTCAGTTTGATCACTTGGTTATGGCAGTATATGCTAGATTTATCCATTATTTTCTCCCCTTTGTAATTATCAAGTCATCTATGGGAGGATATATGTGAATATATCTTTTTCACCAACATTCTTTCACCCAGTGGTTTTTACAACTGTTTGGCAGAAATAGTTTCATAAAAGTATAATTAGGGGAGCTGGGAAGAGCTCTTTAAAAGTTTCTACTACGACCCTCATCTCTTTTTATGCTAAACTGTTTTCATTCATTTATCTATTAAAATGTTTATAGTGTGTTCATCATGTACCTTGGCACTGTGAGATTTTTACCTGTGGCTTCATGGTTGCCTAAGCTAATATCTTTAGCTTGCCTCTATCTCCCGTGCTCCAGATCCACACTAGCAACTGCTTTGAGGGTCTCCACGTTACCATCTGTGGATACCTTAAAGTCAACGTGCTCAAATGGAGCCCATCATCTTCACTTCCTGATCTGCTCTTCTTCTATTTTCTATTCCAGTAAATTACACTTCTGTTTTCTCAGTGACTCTGTAATAAAAAGGACTCCTAGTTACTGAGTAGCCAGCCTCCGTAATAGGTCTTTTATATACGTTACATGCATTATCTCATGAAATCCTTGCAGTAGAATTGCAGCTATTTTCTGAAGGCCATTGGGCCCTTAGCCCCAGATAAACAGCTAGCAAGTCTTCATGCTAGGATTCAAATCCAGTTCTCTTTGGCTTCAAAGCCTTTGCTTTAGTATAGTGATTAACAGCATCATTGGCTTCAAATCCTGGTTCTCCTACCAACGATGGGGGATTGGATAAGCCTCCTTAACTCTCAGCGCTTTGGTTTTCTCCTCTATAAATTGGGAAAGCCAATAATCCCTGCCTTGTAGGATGGTTTGGAGACTTGAATCAGATAAAACTTGACAAACATTTGAACAATTCCTGGCAGCACCAAGCCATAAATCTGGTGTCACCCTAAACTCCTCCATCCACTCACTGCTTGAGGATTAGCCCCCTTAGGGACCTTGTCACCACTGCTGTCATTGCCTTAGTTTAGACCTGGAGTTGGCAAACTATGGCCGGGAGGCCAAATCCAGCCTCCACCTGTTTTTGTAAATAATTTTTTTTAATTGAGGTATGATTGACATTAAAAATAAGGTGTTATTGGAGCGCCGTCATGCCCATTCACTTACATATTTTTTGTGATTGCTTTCACCTTACCACAGCAGTGTTGAGTAGTGGTGATAGGGACCACTCTGTCTGGCCTGCAAAGCCCAATATATTTACGGTCTAACCCTTTACAGAAAACAGTTAGCCAATTCCTGGTTGCCCGTGGTATTGCAATAGTCTCCTCCCTGGTTTTCCTGGTTTTATATCTTCTTCCTCCTTGAACTCATCCTCACCACCCCTTCTCCTGTGCCGGGGGAATCTCCCTAAAATGTGCCCTTAATCATGCCTATTTGCTCCTCATGGTGCATTGAAGACTAAGAACCTAGTCTTCCACGTACTGGTGAGCCCCATACCAGGCTTGTTCTCTGGCTGTAATGAATGCTTTACGCCCTTTCTAGCCTGGCACACACTGTTTTTCTGGTCTGAATACCCGCCTCTTGCCCCTTGTCCTTAACAACAAGTTCAGCATTTACTTCTCTGAGAAGCGCTTTCTGACTTCCACAGGCTGAACCAATGGCTTCAGCAATACTTCACCTTCAGCATTTATCCACAATTTCATGATCGTGGGTTTAAATGTCTGCCTTGTGGCTGCTGTGACTTCCTCTCAAGATTAGGAACATACATTTTTCACTTTTGTATCTGGATGTGGCCCTTAGTAAGCGTCCTTTAAGTTGTTACCGCCTGCTGGCATTTCAGGTGGGGTTTGAAGGCTTACATAAGGAGTTTGAGGAGTATGAGAAAGAGGCAGGTCAGGAGAGAGGTGGCACCTTAGCTAACAGCTGGAGGATAAAACAAGATAATGGGAGGGAGAAGGCAGTAGGAACAGTGTTGGTTAAGCTGATGAAACCTGAAAGAGGTGTGTTGGAGAGATGACGAGCAGAGGAAGGGGGCATGTGAGGGGATGCTGGAAGATAGTCTGAGAGGCATCAGGCCCGTACTCTACACAGCCTCCTTTGCTGTGCTGAGGAGTCTGGGCAAGAGAAACCATGAAGGGCTGCAGGAAGCAAACACCATACTGTCTGCTCGTGTGTAGGTCTTCTGGAAGTCCTTTGAGGCATTGACTACATTTTTGTTTTGTCGTCATTCAGTCCTACACGCACACAATTTCTGGCATATCATAGGCTCTCAATAAATGTGTCTTTCATCATTGAAATATAAGAAAAGTCCTCAGTTTTAAGAGTGGGGTAGTCTCTGGTGCTTAGTATTTTCTTAGAGGATGAACATTTGCTCTGTCTGCGACTTTCATAAATTTAAGAACTTCAGTCATATTTCACCTCAGTCCTTGGATTTTCTGCTTGAAAACTTCCCATTAGGAAAAAAGAGTCTATTCTCTGATGGAAGGTTTGAATTTCTTGGGTCTTTTTCATTGACTTTTTCTTCTTCAATTCTGTTTTGTCTTTGTTGAGTTAAGGCTTTCAAGAGCACCAGAATTCTTTCCTCATCTGCAAAACCAGAGGCAGATCAATTTAGTTCTTGTGATTTTGGTATTTTCTCCTAACAAAAATCTTAAATGGAGCTAGGAGAAATAAACTCTGATTTGCAAAGCATGCCAAAGATGGCGCCTCACAGGTGGAATGCAAAGCCTTTATTAATGATGCCCAGACTAATTCTGTCTTTAGCACAAGGGCTCAGAGAGCCAGCAACTTAGCAGTTTTGTGGGGTAGGCAGGGGGGTGTATCAATGAAATAAATTGGGTCGTAAAATATGCCTAGACAATTGGATAAAACTGGGACTTATGGGGACTCCTGCACTCCAGGAAATTCTCCAAGTCTCCACTTATCCTCAAAATGAACAAGAAGCTTCAGTTTCAAATTGAGTGCATTTTCCATCCATGGATTGGCTTGTTTTGTTCAGTTTTACTTTGAGTATTTGAGGTTATCTTTTCGACGTAACAGCTAAACCCACGGCTTCCTTTCTCGTAAAACCAAAACAAAAAGGCTAGAAATTCAGGTGCCTTCTGTGTGTGCACATGTGTAGTACATACCTGGGATCAAAGCCTGCTATATAAAGTCCTTGATTCTGTGTGGGTTCAAACACATTTCAAAGCTTCAGGATCCTGAAAGTTTTCGCTCTGCTTCCTGAAGACCTGAACACTGCTCCCATAAAGCCATGGCTTGCTTTGGCTTCCAGAGTCATGGGGCTCGGCTGGACCTGGCTTCTAGGACCTGGCCCTGTACTGCCCTGTTTTCTCTTCTCTTCATCCCCGTTTTCTCTAAAGGTGAGTGAGGTTATTGGAGCATGGGGGTGGAGGAGGTGTTTCTCCCACCTGGGTTTCATTCCTTTTAGCAGTCAAGGGCAGTGATTTATAGCAAATCCAGAAGCTAAAGGTGAGACTCCAATCTCCTGGCATGGGCAGCTCTGTATTCCAAGGCAGGCAGGGGACAGCTGACAGCAGCAAATCAGCAGAGACACAGCTCTTAGCAGTTTGCTGGGCATGGAGTGGGAGCTTAATGAATACGTGTGAGTTGGTCTGGGAGACATGAGCAATTTCAGACACTTCTATAAGATGAGAAGAAAATACTGCAAAGTTAAGTGATTTAAGAGAGCAAAGATACCCACCATCCTAAATCCATTTGGGCTTGGAATCAGGGTTAGCTCAAGATTTCCCTTTTTCTGACTTACTTCACTCTGGATGACAGACTCTAGGTCCATCCACCTCATTACAAATAGCTCAATTTCGTTTCTTTTTATGGCTGAGTAATATTCCATTGTATATGTGTGCCACATCTTAAGTCAGAAAGAGAAAGACAAATACTGTATGCTAACACATATATATGGAATTTAAGAAAAAAGATATGTCATGAAGAACCTAGGGGTAAGATGGGAATAAAGACACAGACCTACTAGAGAACGGACTTGAGGATATGGGGAGGGGGAAGGGTAAGCTGGGACAAAGTGAGAGAGTGGCATGGACATATATACACTACCAAACGTAAAATAGATAGCTAGTGGGAAGCAGCCGCATAGCACAGGGAAATCAGCTCGGTGCTTTGTGACCACCTAGAGGGGTGGGATAGGGAGGGTGGCAGGGAGGGAGATGCAAGAGGGAAGAGATATGGGAACATATGTATATGTATAACTGATTCACTTTGTTATAAAGCAGAAGCTAGCACACCATTGTAAAGCAATTATACTCCAATAAAGATGTAAAAAAAAAATTCCCTTTTTGAAGAACACTGATTTAGGCAAATTATGGGAAGTTTCTTTCCTACCCAATTCAAGGTTTTAAGGTCCTCTGATTCACTTTTATAAACGGATTAGCCTGCTTGTTTAAACTTTCAGCATTCTTTACTCAATGCAGGGTTTTAAGGTCCTCTTAATCAACTCTATAGTTAGCTAATTATTTTAAAAAATGAAAGCAATTTGACGTAGTAAAACAAACAAACAAAATGAAAAAAAGAAAGGAAGAAAGAAAGAACAAAAGAATGAAAGAAAGAAAGAGCCATAGGTCTGTTTGGCATAAGATACTTAATTGCCGCCTGACTTATCTCTGGACCTTAGGTGCAGATTCCCCAGTTTTCAGATGAAATAAAGCTCTTTAGAGGTTGATACCTGGTCTGTTACAATGGTGTGAAATGGTGACCGTTTTACCAGAAGGTGAATTTCAACCTTCTCTCCCTCTAGAGCTTCTCGGTTGAAAAACCAAGTGGTTTATACAAAGTAGGTGCTCAAAAGATATTTGATTATTAATTTTTACTGTATAAGAAATATTCATACACATTCTCTTATTTTACATGTTTTGAACATGTAAAGTTAAATATCAGAGAAATAATCAAATTTACTTTTAAGAAAATTTATCTCAACCTGTAACTGGGATCCTCCCATGGTGGATATTGGAAAATTGTGTAACCAGATTTAGTGGTGATAATTGGGAGCTTGCCTCGGGGGAGGGCAGGAAACTTGGTCTTCTTTAAGCTTAGAGTCAACACAACAAATGGGCAGGATATAATGATTAATGCACAAAAAACCTTTAATACAGGGCTGAATTTGATTAAGTACTACGGTGGAGTTATAATAGTACAAAGGATGCTCAGAGGGCATCTCTGATAGACAGAAATGAGGGTTGGGAAAGAAAACTACTGTCTAGCCAACCAGGGCTGCTGGATTAACCATGGCAATGGTTAATGGCTGCTGCCATATTGTTCTCTTCTGAGGACACAGGTTGCCTACTACAGGTGCTTGGGGGAAAGGACTAATGTTTTCAGAATAAAGTGATTTATACACAGGAAGAGGTGTCCTGGAAGCTCAGATTGGAGTGGTAAGCTGGGATCAGATAATGGAGACAGTGAAAGTTATTTGTTTTTGTAATCAGTGGTATATAAGGCATGAAAGGGTTTGAACAGAATGAGTGTCATGGTTCAATCCAAGTTTTGAGTGTCACTTGTGTGATTGATTGACTAGAGAGGGGCCCAGTTAGTTACAGGAAAGTAATTTGTCATGAAGCCACTATTTTTTAGATGATGTGAGCCCTTTTGTATGGAGAGCTGGCCTCCCTTCTCCTGTAGAAGCCAGAGGGAAAAGAACAAAGGAACACAAGTTGTTCGAGTGAAGGAGAGAGGGCGGTGGAAGAGGTGATGACAGTGGCAGGGGAAGCCCATAGAAGTGAACAGCAGGGTTGCCTCAGCCTACAGAGGAAATGACCCGGTGCCCTCGGCTCGGTGGCTTCCTTCATCAAGCAGCATCCCTCATTCTCTGGCGATAATGCAGGGAAGGGGGTGGCCGGCACCAGGGGCCAAGGCTCAGCTCCTCATGGGCGATTGAGGTCCAGGGCCAGATCAATGCGGGTAGAGGTTATTAAGGTATACTTTGAGGGATAAAGCAAGACTCTATACCTCAGCCTCCAAACTTTCCCCTACTACTCTTATGGGTCCTACAGCTCTATCATAACCTTAGAATACCAGAGTGGGAAGGCACTCTGATGTCATCTGATCTAATCCCCTATTTTGCATGTGAGGGAAAAATGAAGTCCACGGGGGAGGCATGGCTTTCCCCAAATCACCTATTTCACAGTAGAGCCAGCCCTTCTCTTTGTCACATCAGTGTTCTTCATGCCACAACCAACTGCCTTCAAGGCACTGTTTTCCAATAAGGAAGCACCTTCATGGAGCGTAACCGGAAGACAGTGGCGAGATGGAGGGGGTGCTGGGGTGGGTGGAGAAGGAAAGGGGTAGGGGAGGGTGATGGGTTTGTTGATGGGGGGAGAGAAAGGCTGACAGGTGAGACTGGAGGGGGCCATCAAAGATCAACTTTGCCTGGCCTGAGGGTTTTGCCTGGACCTTGTCATGCGCTAGCATGAGTTCATTGAGTTCCCTTTGGTTTTCTTGCTTTAGGGGTGCACGTGGCCCAGCCTGCAGTGGTGCTGGCCAGCAGTCGGGGTGTTGCCAGCTTCGTCTGTGAATATGGGTCGTCAGGCAAAGCCGCCGAGGTCCGGGTGACGGTGTTGCGGAAGGCAGGCGGCCAGCTGAACGAAGTCTGCGCCGCGACCTACATGGTGGAAGATGAGCTGACCTTCCTGGAGGATTCCACTTGCACTGGCACCTCCAGTGGGAACAGAGTGAACCTCACCATCCAAGGGCTGAGGGCCACGGACTCCGGGCTCTACATCTGCAAGGTGGAGCTCATGTACCCGCCGCCCTACTATGTGGGCATGGGCAATGGAACCCAAATTTACGTCATTGGTGAGCATCACTGACGACGCCTTTTGCATTGCTGTCTCTTCTCTGTGTGCAAACAGTTTTGCTCCTTGATTTCAGGTCGTTCATGTTTAGGATTGTGGGAATTCTCTTTAAGAGTTCTCTGGCCTACTGCATGAGTCCTACTCAGTATGGGTGGCGAGGCAAACGGCATTCTGTTTATAAAATAAAATGAGCTGGAGAAGGTGTGTTTCCTCCCGGCAGGTTGGGGCACTCACACTGGAGCGATACCCAGCATGAAATTTGGCCTTGGCCTTTGATCTGAAACTCCTGGCAAAGTAGCCCCAACAGTCAGACTTACCTGGGGTCCAGCGATTCCAATTAGGGGTGGACATCAAGGTCTGGAAGCTTGAACTTTTTCCTTCTCTCACCGGTGGGGGGGAGTACTGCCCTAGAATTTAGAAAGCATCTCAGGGAAATTCTGCTTTGTTCTCTGTTGCAGATCCAGAACCATGCCCGGATTCTGATTTCCTCCTCTGGATCCTGGTAGCAGTTAGTTCAGGGTTGTTTTTCTACAGCTTCCTCATCACAGCTGTTTCTTTGAGCAAAATGGTGAGTGCCGTGCCGATAACGCACCATCCTTGGTCAGAATACCTTTAGTGATAACAACTGGCCAAATGATGCTGTTGAGTCGAGTTTTCTTGAGATGAAGCGGTAAATGAAGAAGAGGAAGGACGGTGGTAAAGAACACACTAGAACCCTTGGCATTGGCCTTTGAGGTTTCAGGATGACTAATATTTTATATGAGTGTGTTTGACATTGAATGTTTGTGTGCTTTTGCATAGGGTTTCATTTTGAGTAGCTGAACAACACGGGGCAGCTGTTTTGCTCTTTATCTTCATGACAATTGTACTTAAGTTAATAACCCTGAAACATTAGGTTGGGCAAAATGATGCTGGAGAAGACCGCAGGGGTGGTTAATGTCCCTCTACTTTACCTGGAAGGCATCACTCTGTACAACTCTACTTGAGCCATCCTTGACCAAGCTGTAGGCGTCCACGTAACACATGCCCAGGGTGCCCTGTTACCCAGTCTGCTTGACTGGCAAGCCTCATGCTCTTCTCCAGCCCAGTAAATGAGAACCCAGTTTTCATTTACTACAGTTGTTGTAGAAGAAGCAGAGGTATGGAACCCGGACTTCTGTCAAGATTTCTGACAGTCGCTTGCAACCTCCTTTGCCTGAGGCTGGCTTTGCCATTCACAAACCTCTCCCTCCCCTTCCTCTCTCCCTCCCCTTCTCTTCCACTCCCTTACTCCCTCCCTCTCTCCCTCCCGCACCCCTACACTGTATTCCAAGAACCTCTACTCAGTCTGTTCTGTTGCTGTAGCTTCTTTCTACCTCATTTGCTAAAAAGTGCCACACTAACCAGTAGACTAGACCTCAATTTACTGAGGTGATAAAAACTGGGAACTAATGTGGACCGAGAAAAAAAGTAATAAAGAGTATGTGAGGAGTAGAGATGAGACATACTGCTCGCAAAGAGAATAATTGAAGTTTATTATCTTATCAAGCTCATCCCCTCACAAACAAGACCCAGTCAATTATCATAGGCATTTTGGGTGTTCTTTCTAAAGCTTTCTTGAAGTTTCTTTCTGCTATCTCCCAGTCAGGGAAAATGATTTCTATCTTAAGTCAATAGCACAGAGTTATTTACCCGAAATGAATTTTAATAGCTGAATCAAGAAAATCTCCTGGGGCTTATAATTCTGTATGTTGTGAACATCTATTTTTCAGTGGGGTAGGGACCCAATATTTGTTGAATCCTATTATAGTTAGAAGTGGCTTCTGTATTCCTCAATACTAATTACTGTTTCTTTTAATGTTTGGCAGCTAAAGAAAAGAAGCCCTCTTACTACAGGAGTCTATGTGAAAATGCCCCCAACAGAGCCAGAATGTGAAAAGCAATTTCAGCCTTATTTCATTCCCATCAATTGAGAGACCATTATGAAGAAAAAAGACTATTTTCCAATTTGTAAGAGCTGAGGCAATTCTAACTTTTTGCTATCCAGCTATTTTTGTTTGTTTGTGTATTTTGGGGGATTCATCTCTCTTTAATATAAAGCAGGATGCAGAACCCAAATTAAGCGTACTACAATTTAAAACAAAGGAGCAGAAAAACAGAGCCGGGCTGGTTCTGTCACATCTGATCCAATTTTAGCAAAAGCCTCACTTGGGAGCAATATTGGGATGCAGCATTACAATGTGGAGTCAAGACATAAGTTAGGGAATGGTACAGTCCCAAGAAAGCAAAGGAAGAATTAAGAGCGAGGATGGTATTATATACATCTTGTATTTACCTGTGAGATGTTTATAGCTGAAATGATGTTTTCATGTAAAATTTTTATGCTGTGTTATTTTTCTTAACAAATATATAATTACATAAAGACTTAAAAAATACTCACATGGCTATATTTTAGCCAGTGATTCCAAAGGTTGTATTGTAACAATATGTATTTTTTATTTGATAGTATTGTGCATGGGGGCCACATGTGCTTTTGTGTATTTGCTGGTAGTTTGAGTATAAACACTATATGGCAGTGTCTTCCCACCATGGGTTCAGGGGAAGTTTTGTGGAGAGACTCAGGACACTAATACACCAGGTAGAGTACAAGGTCACTTGCCAACTGGCTTGGAAACTGGATAAGGTCATAGCTCATTCTTGCAGACATGTTGGGCTGAGTTGGTGTTGACATGGGGTTTGGGCTTTTATGCCAACTCCTTCCACTGGTTTGCAAGGAAGCCAAAGCTGGTGGTATCTGAGTTAACTTGATAGAGCACCATCATCGTCGAGAAAATGGCTCATTTCAGGAGTCTTGCGGGTATGAACCTCAAGGAAGCTCCAGTTCCATGGGGGCCCCAGTTCCTTACACATGGTTAATGCCACCGACAGAAAAAAGCAGCAGATGGCAGAACAGAATGCGAGGGTCTCTGAAAACTAACACTGTTGGTGTTTTTTAACTTGATATTTTCCGTGAAAATGCAACAACATGTATAATATTTTTAATTAAATAAAAATCTGTGGTGGTCGTTTTCCAGAGTTGTTTTTGACATTCCTTATAAGTGAGTATTGTGTTTGAGTTTATTTTTGGTTGATTCATTTAGCAGTTGGTTGAGTCTCCAATATTAGGAATACTGAGAACAAATCGAAAAAACCCAAAAGGAGGGCTTCCCTGGTGGCGCAGTGGTTGAGAGTCCGCCTGCCGATGCAGAGGACACGGGTTCGTGCCCCGGTCCGGGAAGATCCCACATGCCGCGGAGCGGCTGGGCCCGTGAGCCATGGCCGCTGAGCCTGCGCGTCCGGAGAAAACCCAAAAGGGCAAATAATGCTTCATGAATCAGCCCTTCACCTGCAAGCCATTCTTGGAAGGAATTCATCCTCTGTCCTTTTGATTGCTTCCCCAGTGTTTGGGATACGAAGCGATCTACCACGGCTACAGCAGCCCTTGATAAATCACACAGCACTCTCTTCAGCACAGGTTCTTTACCCCCTCTTTCTCACCCAGACCTTTCCCAGCTCTACTCGAGCACTGATTACAGTTGCCATGGCAACTCCAGCGTTGTCAACCTTGGTCCCTGCAGCCATTTTGCTCTGCTTCTGTGGTAAACGGAGCTTTCCCTTGCAGCTTCCAGAGGGACTCTTTCACAAATGTGAGGAACACATCCCCTCTGTGATTCTTGGTTAACCAGTATGTAGCCTCAGCCTGCTTGGTTTCCATTTAAGGTTTCTCATTCTTGACCTCCATATCCTGTTGTTGTTCTGTGCAACGATTCTCAGGGTGGCCAGGGATCACCTATAATTGAATCAACTGGGTCACTTCCTAAAAATGCTGATTCAAGCGCTTAACCTCAGATGCACTGAATCAGAACCTTTGGGCGATGGGGCCAGGAGTTTGCTCTCCCAACAGCCTCCTCAGTGCTTCTCAGACCCCTCAGGTTTTGAGGATCGCTGTTTAGGCAGCTCTCTCTCTTGCTCACTAAAACTCTCTCTTTTTTTGCAAGCAAGTGCTAACAAACAAATGAGAGAGCACATAGTGAGCATTCCAGAAAGATGTGTTAAATAAAAAGGAATAGGTCTTCCAAATATGGTAATGGCACTTACCTAGAATAAATTCCTACTATGCAGAAGACTGTTTCTCTTGATTTCTTGGTCTTTGGTTGGAAGCCATGAAGAAACACACAGTTTATGAGGCCCAACGGATAGTCTGATACCATTTCTTCTCCTCCAAATGTCTTTAGAGAGATCATTCTTCTCCATAGTTGATGGAAGATCTAAATGACAGAGGGCCTTAGGCAAGGGATCTCTCGGGCATCTTTCAGACACCATTAGACAATGGACTACTTTACATAAGCTTAATATCTCCTCTACTATTATCTGAAATTCTGCCATTAGCTATTCATTGAGTTAAGCGTTGCCTACTTCACTCAGCCTCAATTTTGAAGACATATTAATAAAATACTCTTTGGCTCCAAAGAATTTCTCCTATGATATTTCTCCTATGAAGAAATAGGCAAGAAAGACTGTGACCTGAAAGGGTGGAAAGCAAATATGGGGTAGGGTTGTCTGGGGACCAAAGGAAAGCCTTTTCTAATCCCTAACTTGTTTATGAGGGTAGATCCATTATCTGCAATACTCAGAGAGATGCATAGCCCTCAAATCAGGGGACCAATGGCTTTATGGCCTTCCAGCCTTCATCACCATCACCATCTCTGGGATCAAGGTCTTGGGGAAGCCCCAAGACTCCAGTCATCATCAAATGAGGCTTGGTCCACCGTGGCTGAGAGAGGAGGGGTCCACTGTGCCCCTCCTCCCGGAACCACTAGTCTCAGGTAGGAATGTGGAGACAAGAGGAGCAAGAGAGAGCTACCAGGGGTTGCCTGGGTCAACCCCAACTCTTACCAGTTCCCAGCACATACCTCTGCTTATCTCCCTTATTCCAATATGGTACTCTCATTTCTGCCACTTCCTGTTTCCCTATTCATCACCCCCAAATATCTTTATCCCTTATTTTTGCATCCATAAACACTCATTTCAAATTCTGCCTCGTCCATCGGATGTGCTGACACTTCAAGCCTACATGGATTTTTCTCTTCTGTTTTGCAGCTATATTCAGTTTCGTCTCTAATAATTTCAGATGCCTATGTCTTTTCTCCCTAGCTTGGATGGAAACTTCTCCAAAATAGGCATCACCACAACTTTAGGCACACAATAGATGCTCAAACAAGTGTACTGGAGAGTTGGGGAGCTAGGACATCTGGGACAATGAGAGGGACATGTCTTCTATGCAGAACATGGCTGTTTTGAACGGGGAATGACCCCAATTTACAAGGAGCATGCTATGGTTGTATCTTCCCATTGGCTGTATTACTGGTTTCCATTTTCCCCATTTTTGAGTGAGAAGTTCTAATGCTTCAAGCCTAATCTCCTTCCTCTTTGACCAAGAGAATTATGTGTAGGTCAATCTGTTTCTCAGCTTAAACCTTTAAGACTGGAATGTGAGCTCCCTCTGGCTCCCTTGCCCCACGCATTCTACTTTTATCTCAATCTAATCTTCCAATATTTTTGTGGGGGGGAGGGAGATGAATTCTCATTTTTATTCTCTGTATTTTGAACTGTGGGTTGCCGCTAAAACTGACTATATTTTTATACTGAGTCTGTACCTTCTTTTGTCTCCACAGTTGATACACACTTACTTTACTTGGGACCAAAACTTGCAAACTGTTGATGTCACTGTGCTGTTAATTGGAGCAAAGCCAGTTGGGAAGGTTAAGAAGTTAGACACTTAAGTTATTGTTTTTGGAGTTCTCAAAGTGAAGGAGAAGCTGGCTTTCTCTGGAAAGCTATTTCTATTGTTTTACTTCTCTTTTGCACCTGGTTAGAGCGATGATTTAGGCGGCTTAGAGACCTTGTTTTATTTTATAAATTTGTTTTTCTCAGCTCAGGTCAATTTTCTTTGTTCAGACCAGAAAGATAACACATCCTATTGGTGGAGATGGAGGAAAGGTTCTTTACTTCCTCTTTTATGTGTCCTTGTCTACAGGCTGGGATAGGAGTTAATAGGTAGGTTTGCCAGATTCAGCCAAAAGAAAAAAAAAACAAAAAACCCCAAAAGCCAAAAACAGGATGCCCTGTGTTTGATCTGACAACCTTATCAGCAGGAAACTTTGTACCTTAACATGGTGTGAATAAAAAGTGTTCTGGAGACCCCTCCCCAGGAGTTTCTGGGCAGGAACAGCCTGAGACCGGGGCTGCTGCTTCAGGACTAACACAATCTCCTGTTCTCACTCCAGGGCACATGTTGGATGGATGCTCAGTATCGCTGGGGGCCAATGGGTCCTACAAAGTTGGCAGTTACTTACCTATTAAATTTTTTCTTAGAAGTCAACTCACTTTGTTCTATACGGTGAGGAGTCTGACATTCAGACCCTTCTTGGAAATCTTTGCTTTCGTGGGTGCACTCTATTACAGCTGTTCTTACACCGATTGTGCACCATAATTATCTGGAACATTTGGAAAAAATGTGGATTGAGGTGCCTCAGATCCAGAGCTTCTCGTTTATAAGATCTGAGGTAGGGCCTGAGGGATTTTAATCCTTCAGTGAGTCTCTGAGATCTTACTCTCAGATGCCCTGGTCTAACTCAGGATCCTACCATCACAGATGACTAGGACTGGAGAAAGGACCTTGGAAATTGTTTTCACATTTTAGAAGAAAACGAGCCTCAGAGACATTAGGAAACTTGTCCAAGGTAACAAAGTCTGAGAAGACAGGTCTGTAGATTTTCACGTCAGGGCTGTGCTGTGGGTGACACTTTGAGCCTTTCTGCTCAGGGACTGTCCTTTTTAGGCTGCTTCTGGAACATCACTGCCATCACCGCAGGCTACCTCTAGAAAACCTGTTTTTCCTCTCACCTCCACGCCAGCTGCTCTGTTAAGTCTCAGTGTTACCATTACTACTCTTTCCTGCCTGATGTTGGCTCCATCTTTTCTATCTCTGCCTTAACCTTCCGGGGCCCTAGCAAGAGGGTCTCGGGTGATCCTCAGCAATCCGGCAGAAGGATGCAGCAGAAGAGAAGACAAAACACTGCTGCCAACCTTCTGTCAGCAAAGCCTACGGTGCCCTGAGAAAGCTTCTCAATTCTGCTGGAAGTCATGGAACAACCCAGTGAAACGATACATGTTCTTTTTTTTATATCACATGCCATCAGGTTACCATAGCAACCAACCTTGCTTTAAAAACATGATATTAGTCACCCAAAGTGATATTATCTATTTGAACAAAAAGAGGAGGCTCTCTCTGGGAGAAACTGTAGGAAATATATTTCAGGAGGTGACTTCAAATTTTAGAATGCAACGAAAGTGATGTCTCACGAATTACACTTTTCTGAGGACATTGCCTTTTTCTTCTTGCTTCATCTTGACAACATTTTAGTTTGTTCTGTAGTCCTCACATTGTTATTTTCTTTAATGCATTGAACACGAGCCTTGCTTTCCTTCCTTGCAGTTAACTGCAAGTCAGACATAGTCTTTAGTCTCCCGTGAGCATCTGTTTGCCCCTGGCACATCAAAGTTATCCTTAACCATGACTATAAGGACAGGAAGCTTGGATTTGTGAATGAAGACTAACATTCTCTAGTGTTGCTTTCCTATTGAGGAAGCCGCCATGCTGGATACAGTTCATGAGCTCCTTATTTGGATTGAAGAGGGAAAGGAGACCAACTCATGAAGGCTTCAACACTGCATGGGTGTAAATTAGCTAAAGTAATCCTCACAAGATCCCTGGAGAAGAGATACTGACAACACCCGCATTTTACAGTTGAGGAAGCTGAGGTTTTAGGGGGTTTTATTACTTGCCCAATCTCACACAGCTAGTAAGTGGCAGAGTCAGGATTAGAACTGATGTTGAATTCCAAGGCTCAGGCTCTTTTCAGATGACCACGTCTGAATTCTGGGGGTCTATCTGCAAAAGGAAAAGGGTAAAATGGAAAGTGAATGGGGACCAAAGTGCTAGAGAAGCAAAGCGTGTTTCATGGGGGTTACAC